AACCACGGGTGGCTCCTCCTCTTGAACCACCGCGGGTGGTTCCTCCTTCTGAACTACCACGGGTAGTTCCTCCTCCTGAGCCACCAAAGGTGGTTCCTCTTGCTGAACCTGCACGGATGGATCCTCTTTCTGAACCAATGCAGCTGGTTCCTCCTCCGGGTGCTGATCGTGGGCATCCTCCAGCCCATGAGGCGGCTCCTGCTTTATGCAGCAAAGTTGCACCGACTAAGAATCAATGTCAGGAATCGTTAGGAATCGTTAGGAATCAGCTTGCCCCCACATCCGCATCTTCACAGATCTTCGATTACACATTCCCTGGGGAAAGTGGCCCGCTACTGGCCTTACTCCCCTTCTTCACTGATGAGGACAATCCCGGGGCTTTGACCATCAACGCTGGGCGTCCTCAATGACCTTCACGAACTGTGGCCGTTCTGCTGGTGACACGGCCTCGGCCTCGCTGGCCTGGGCCCTGCAGGCTGGAAAAACATCCTTGCTCCTAGTAGCATCCCTGCTCCGTTCATAGCGATGCCCTTTGCCACTAGTAGCTCCCTAGAAAATACTCCCCAAACATTCTCCAACAGCGAAAATACTCCCCAAACATTCTCCAACAGGGTTTCACAAAAGTGAAGATGAGTACAATCACACGCTCATTTCCACGCCTGGCTGCTCTCGTGGAGTCCCCCGGACTGTTGGGCGCCTCAAGGAGGCGTAAATCGATCCCAGTCCGCGCACGTTGATCGATGACCTTCCGTTTGACTATAGATCCACTTAACTTGAACGCTTGACGCTCTACATAATGAGGTCATCCTGCAACATCATGGTGCCGATTATTTTGAGCCTTGCTTTTCATGAGCCGTCCCAGATTTCGCATGAGTTTGACCATATTATGCGGCGTTCGACACCTTCGAGGTTCCACGACTGGCCCTCCTCTGCTTCAAAAGTTCTCGCCTTGGAGCGGCTCTGGGGGTCAGTCACGACAGATCTTCCACCAGGCTCGTTTGGGCACCCACTGTTGTGGCATTTGCCCTGGCTGAGGGTTGAAGATGGTTGAACTAGCGTGCCTAATGCACACACATACAATATAGCCACACACACACACATACGCGTATGATGCGTATGTGTGGTAATGAGCATACAGGCATCACAGGAAAAAACATGTTAGATGTGGGCCTGGCATCACCACGGCGCATCACTTTCGGTGAGACATCTCGGTTGCGACTAAAGTCGCACAGTGCCCAGGAGCGAGTTCCCTCATATCCAGATTCAGTGAGGGCCCCAAATAAAGCAAGAAAACAACGTTGCTTGAAAAAAAGACCCTATAAGCACTGATGAATGATCAAATGGACATCGAAATAAATATAAATAAATAGATTAACAATGATGCACATAGACTTTTAAATGTTTGACAAGGAACATCATGCACAGTCTAGCTGACTCTGTCAAGCGTTGACTCTGTGTCGGTCTGATGTCTGATCCCGGACTGATCCCAGGTCTCGATCCCGTCGTGGAACCGAGGTTTCGACTCGCGGATCTGGGCTTGACCTCAGAACATCACAGCTGTCGACTCCTGGATCACTATAGGAGCAAGGACGCTACTAGGGGCTCCTGGCATCGCTACTAGGAGCAAGAAGCTACTAGGGGCTCCTGGCCGTACTACTAGGAGCAAGAACGCTACTACAGGCAGGGTCGACTTGGTCGACCAATGTTCGCCGATTGCCTTTGCTCCTAGTAGCTTCTTGTTCCTAGTCACGATGCCAGGAGCCCCTAATAGCGTCCTTGCTCCTAGTAGCGATGCCCTTTGCTCCGTTCGTAGCGAACATTGCGCCATGATGCATTCGCCATGTTTTCGGACTCTCAGGTCTTCCCCCCTCTGACGAAAGTCGTCTACCCTCCGACAAGAATGGAACTACTTCACTCGATAAGTGCAGGAGACCAAACAAAATGCAAACATCCAAAAATCCATACAATGTGGATATCTGATCTCCACTGAGCCTGAATTCATCGATTCACCCCCCCCATGTAATTACTTCGGCACCGAATTGAGTTTTAGATCCATCTATGATGCATTTACTATGCCATTGCTGCTCGTCTGTGAGCAGGGGAGCTACGAAAGCCACGCAGTCTGCTCTTGGCAAACAGTGCGCAGCAGTGAAACGAACACGAGGAGAAGGATTATGCGTGTGGCACTCCCTACTTCAGAGTGCACCTTGAAAGTCACCTCACACACCCGTGTGAAATCTTGATGGTTTCTTTCTGCAAAAGAATGCAAAACAATCACCGCAAGGTGTTCAAGTTCAACCCCCTGCCAGCCCCATGTAATGACTGAAGGATGCAACAATGAACAGTTTCAGAGATGTGTGAAAATGAATTCACGATATGTACAGGCTTTTAGCTTCTATTCTCCACTTCATCGCGAATCCCTACTGAGCGCGCCTTCTATGGCGCTCAGTCGAGGTCCTCGACATCGTCGTAGGAGACGATGGTCCGGGGCTGCTCATCCTCCACCCATGGTGCACGGACAAGGCGAGCCGGATGAGTCTTCCAAAGTCCGGATGCTGCAAACGCTGAAAAACGGCTTATCATCATGGATGAACCATATACCATGATCCATACTTGGATTCAACATACCCATGTGCCATCCTTGATGAACGGCTTATACCCATGTGCCATCTGAATCCAACTCGTCCAACTCCTTCTCTGATGAATGATCCTGACACATCTGAACCATCCCTGGGCGATTTCCACAGGGATCATCCCGACCCCCGCGTCGAGCAGCAGCCAGAACCGAACGCAAAGCTCCGAAAACGAGCCAGGGTTGTGGGGCATGCACGGCAAAAACGCGACATTACATATCACAACATATCACAACATATCACATCAATGAGATCAAACATGCACCCATTGCATAATTTTCTATGATCGTCTACCACATCCTGTTTTCGTAGCGGTGCCGCTGCAGTTGACTCGACTCGACCATACTCGACCCGTCCCAGCCTCGTCAAGCAAATGCAAAAGCCGTGGATCGTTGATACCTGGTGCCGTGGGGGAAACCGAGCAGCATCCCAACCGAGTAGAGGAACACGCCCAAATTGTTCCATGATTGTCCGAAGAAAGGTGTATCTTCACTTTGATTCACTGGGACCGGCAAGTGTGGTAAGGATGATCTATGGTTCTAAACAGTACTTGGACCCTCCAGCACTTGGATTCGGGCCCCCTCCAGTTGGATGGGAAAACCCTCCATGCACTCCATGCCCAGCTGCTGTTGAATTCCAGGCTGGGCGGTTTCGGTGTTGCTTTCACCGGCGCCTGCACTTTCGGGATCACCGAGAGAAACGCAGTTCAAAATTGTCCATGTCTGCGTCTGCGTTGCTGCATGACACCCTCTTTAATCGAATGGAGTAATTATCCTATCCGCCCCCTCAGCAACATGGAAATCGAAAAGGCCTCTGGAAAACTGCACCACCCTGCAAAACATGGTTTTCCATGATACATTGGAGGGAGGGTAGGTTTCATTTACAAGCATGCAGCTGTTCTTGGTTTGCCAGATTCTTCACCTCCCCCCAGCTGGGTGCAATGTTGTGGCAGGCACCCTTGAATGCAACCAAGTACCCTATCATTTCACAGGTTGTCAAGAGTCCATTCTATTGGAAATGGCGAAGACCCTTTGCAGCGGCACCCCATGCTCGGTTGAAATTGACTTTCTGGTTGTCTTGGGCTTGTCTGAAGAGCATGGAATCTGTGAGCTCTCATATCATCTGTACAAGAAACGGAAAGAAAACCCCTAGTGTTCTTCCCTTAACCTCTGGTCTGCACAGCTAGCCGGCTACCCAGACTTCTACTTCCACTACTAAGCTACTTCTGCAGAGGAGACTACCCTAATACTCCAACTACGTATACCGTATACTACTACATTAATATTCCAGCTACTACTACTCGCGGGTGGATGGCCGGGTCTCGGAGAAAGTATTAATGATTTCCTGGCTTGGGCCAGCCGCATATACATATACGATCTATATTACGATCTTACATGCAGCTATGTAGTTGAATCTAGTTGTCTGTCTAACTGGTAACCTGGTAACTAGGTTTATTTATATATATATATATTATATATATATACTGCCGGCCGAAAGCAACCTGACGCAAACGGCTGCCCCCACCCCACATCCAATGATGTTCTGTCCCCTTATGGATGTGGACGTGCTTCTCTGGATGTTCGGGCAGCCTATCCGCTATTTCGTACGGACGTCTGAAGACATTGTCGAACGAAGGACTGAGCACGGATGCCCTGTTTCGTAGGAAATACCAGCGCGGATTGATTCCTGATTCCAGCAGCGCAAAATTAAGCAATATATATATATAAACACATAAACATCATATAAAATCACAAAGTCAATAAGGAAGTATTTTAAAATATTTGTGGGTGGGGCATTCTGGGGCCACCCAAACTACTCCTCTTCCTACTACTACGACTACTACACTACTCCTACTGCTGCTACGATTGTTGACTATTTAAGATCCAGCATCAAGCCGCAAACCCACGGAGCAAGGATGCTACTAGGGGCTCCTGGCATCGCTACTAGGAGCAAAGAAGCTACTAGGGGCTCCTGGCCGTACTACTAGGAACAAGAAGCTATTAGAAACAGGAATTAGTATTAGAACATATTAGGATGTAAATCAGAATTGAAACGAATACACAAGTGGAGTCCCTCCGTGGATCGCTCGCACAGCGCTTTGGACCGCTCGGCCTTGGGTCGTCCGTCGAAGAGGTCCTCATCATCCGAGCTCTCGATACCCACGCTGCTCTGATACCTAGAGCCGAAAAGCGAGCAGAACACACCGAAGGAAGGTTTGCGCTGGATGGCACGAACTTGCGTCATGGCCTATGCATGCCTATGCCATGCTTCTTTTCTTTTGGTGCTTTTTGTAAGGTATGTCGTATAACATGGTTACCACGGACATCTATTCCTGGCAAGCATGTCCATGACACCAAAAATGATTGGACAATATTGGACACATTTTCTCAGCTCAACCGCATCGCAGTCACAAAAGCAATCTGCTTGTCTGAGGACAACAAACAAGCGCAAAGCTCAGCACGTGAACTTGAGGCCAAGGGGGGGGGCGAAAGCTAGCACTCCAGAATGGGAAAGTGGAGGGCAGCGAGGTAGGAAAAAACACGGCGCTCTTTTTGGAGGCAGGGGTGAAGAGTCCTTTATATGTGGCTCTTTGCCCGGATCCTCCTGCGAGAGAAGAGAGAGAAGAGAGACGGAAAGACGAGAGACAGAGAGGAGAGAGAGAGAGAGGAGAGAGAGATGAGAGAGATGAGAAAGAGATGAGAGAGATGAGAGAGATGAGAGAGATGAGAGATATGAGAGAGATGAGAGAGAGAGAGAGACAGTGAGACAGTGAGACAGTGAGAGAGTGAGAGTGAGAGTGAGAGTGAGCGAGTGCGGCCGCAAGATGGGGGTGGGGGGGTCTTCGACCTGAAAAATCAGGGGTTAGGATTTGCACCCGGTCGAAAGAAACCTTGCTATCGCAAGAGTAACTCCAACTAGCTTCGCTAGCTTTCGTGATAAGTTTTGATTTGACTTGACGGGTCTCCGCCTCAAAAGCAACCTTCTCTCAGCTGATCTGATCCGGTTTGAAATGTTCTGAGCTCGCTTTTCCTACAGGGCTATAGGGATCCTTTCTGGGGATCTTGTCAGGCTGTCAACACCAAAGACTCCCAAGCACCCAACCTTAGAGGCGAAGCATTCAAGCAAGTGGCTTGCCCGAATAGCTGGAAGTTTGGGTGGTGTTGCTGGTCACGCTCCTCATGCTCTTGGTGTGTCTCATCGCATCGCCGTGCAGCGCCAAACTTCCTGCCATCGACGGATCGACAGGTGGAAGATTGTGGGACCCTTTTGCGCCGGTTCAGCTAAACACCCTCCTAGCAACAGCACCCTAATGCCCCCCGCTACACCACGGTTCTGGTAGGATCTATCGGTGTGAGGAGGATTCAATCAACAAGCCACGCCACGTTTGCCGCCGTCCGCGTCCTGCCCCTGAACGCTTCAGGACCTTCTTCTTCACCCACGCTTGCGCATGCGCCCGCAGCATTCCATACAGTGCCAGCAGCCCATCCTTACCACTGCGCTCGTTGCGCACCCCGCGGTGCTCCGCCAGGCGTGCAATGTTCGTGCGCGTCTCGGCGACTTCTTGCACTTCGCCCCGCATCTTGGACCTCTTCTGCATGGCATCCAAGCCCCTCCTGGTGAGGTTGCGAACCCATATGAACCTCATATCTGGATATATCTGGAGATCAGTTGCTCACCCAGCAGTTGACGGGACAAAAACATCCGCTCACGTGCGAGGTGCCTCTTTGAGGGGTGTTCTGCGCGGGTATCCCCCAAAAGAACCCCCGGAAATACCGTAAACTATAACATTGACGCAAGACTAAGAAGTGTTTTGTGGTGAAAACATGTGAAAACAGGTGTCCAAGAACCGCCTGTCAGGGTCCTAAAATCACCCTTTGCATCCTGGTCGAAGGTCTTGGCCAAAGAACG